GACGAAGACTTGGTCGTTTTTGATATGGAATTAGATTGTGGAAAGGCATGACGAGAGAGATCGCTGGGAGCAAGTGTCTATCAGCGAGCAGATCCGTAGGAAGTGGGAGAACGGCTTCTAGCGGAGAAGATGATTTTATTGCCTTCACAAAGCGACGTTTAGCACTAAGAGAATAGCTCTAAGGACGAAATTATGGTCGTTTTTGGTGGGGAATTAGATTATAGAAAGACATGACAAGGGAGAGCACTGCGACCAGGTGTCTACCAGCCAAAAGACCCGTGGGAGGTGAGATAACGGCTTCTAGAAGAAGAACGGAGAAAAGGAATTTTATTTCCGTCAGAAAGCGACGTTTGGCACCGAGAGAGTAGCTCTGAAGACGAAGAATTGGTCGTTTTTAGTGTAGAATTAGATTGTGGAAAGACGTGGCGAGGGAAATCGCTGGGAGCAAGTGTCTAGCAGCCAGAAGACTTGTAGGAGGTAAAAGAACGGCTTCTGGAAAAGAAACGAAAAAAAAAATTTTTGTTGCCGTCACAAAACGACGTTTAGCACCGAGAGAATAACTCTAAGGACGAAGAATTAATCGTTTTTGGTGTGGAATTAAATTATAGAAAGGCGTAACGAAGGAAATCGCTAGGAGTAAGTGTTTAGTAGCCAAAAGTTTTATAAGAGGAAAAAGAACGGCTTCTAGAAGAGAAACGGTTTTTATTGCCGTTACAAAACGACGTTTAGCACTAAAAGAATAATTCTAAAAACAAAATTTTAGTCGTTTTTTGTGGAAAATTAAATTATGGAAAAAAAAAAAAATAACGGGAGAAAACGAATAGGTATCTACCAACCAAAAGACCCGTAGGAGGTAAAATAACGGCTTCTAAAAGAGAAATAGATGTGTATTTTCATTAGAAAACGACGTTTAATACTAAGAAAATAATTCTAAAAACGAAAATTTAATCGTGTTTAATAAAAAATTAAATAATATTAATTTAAATTATAAATACAAACGTAATGAAAGAAATCATTAACAATAAATATCTAATAGCCATAAAAATCGTAAAACATAAAAAAATAGTTTCGGGATATAAAGCGGCGAAAAAAATACGGAAAAAAAAAATAGTATTAAATCAATCAAAATATCAAAAGACATATAAAAGGCGAACAAATAATTTACAAAAAAAATATAGAACATAATTTTATTATTTATTTTTAAATACGAAAATAATTAATAGAAAAAATCGTAAATACTATCCAAAAAATGACTAAAATTTCGTCTTTATAGCTATTTATTCAACGACCGAAATAAATTCCACCACCTTCGCATATAAATTTTGCATCCATATTCCCTCCCAAAATCACTATTACAAAAAATATATTCTAAAATATTTCATTTAATTTTATTTTATATAATAATATATCTAAAAATAATAAAACAATATAATCATTAATAAATATAATATATTTTTTAATATATATAATATATATTTTTTTAAACCTATATATATTAAAATATATTTCTAATATTATTATTTATGTTCATATTTATGGTATTTTATACCAATTTAAAATATAATTATTTAATTAATATAATATATTAGGGTAGGAATCCCTATTTGGAAATGAATTTCATTGCATAATGATAACGACCAACATCCCACCTCTTCAAAATGAATCTAAAACAATTAGACCTATTTTGTAGAGAGGGGCTAGGCCAATGGTACAAAATGGGGGGGCCCAGGCGCCTGATTGCAAAAAATGGTATGCCATGCAAAGGGCAGGTCCATTATGATTCTCTACAAAATGAGAGACCTCCTCTACAGAATAAGGAGGGCCCAACCCCTTAATTAGGCCTTTCCCTTCCACTACAAAATGAGCACACCCAACCCTTCTGCAGCCTACAAAATGCTGGGATACCAACCACATGGGTTGTGCTACCAAACCCCTCTACTACCAAATGACCATTCTGTAGGTGGGTTAACCCCCCGCATTCTGCAGGCTTAATATCGTTGAGGATGTAATAATTCAATATTTCGTTATGTAAAGGAATTTGAAGAAATCGTTTGTTCGTATTTATGTAATCTCCCATGAAAGGAATGGCGACATATCCCGGTTGGTTGTCAAAGTGGTTGGCTTCGACGACAAGCAAAAAGATATTTGATAAATTCAGGCAATTCAACTCCTTCGTAAATCACCTCCCTCAAACTAAGTTTCCCCAGTGCGCAATAAGGAATTTGTATGAATTTGTATTCTTCTTTCTTCCTACCTCGGGCACTCGAGCAGGGACCGCGTAATCCTCAAGGCTTAGACAAATTTTTGTGTCTTGAGACTGGCCAAGCAAGTTGCAAACAATTGGAGCAAACACAATTTCATACTAGGAACAAAGGGCATCGCTACTAGGAGCAAGGACGCTACTAGTGGCACTACAGCTAGTAGCAAGAAGCTAGTCAGCTAGTAGGAGCAAACACAATTTCAATACAACCAATGAAATCTAGTTCCTGGGACTCCTGCGACTTGCACATTCTGACAAATGCGCATCTCCGTATGCATCTGTCCCGTACTACACACTCAAAAAATATATTCAAGAGAGTCTCACCTCGTTTGTTTGGTCTGCTTTTCTCCGCAGGACCTTGCAGAATCAATCAGGAACAGTTGCCGAAGTAAAATTTCAGCGCGCTTAAAAAATATCCGAACTATCAGCTAGTCCTTCGAACTAGAAGCCATTCCCAAACATCACACGAAATGCCAACGGACCGACATGAATGTAAACAAGCTCATTTCTTCTTGTCCGTGTCCACCTCCACGTCCACCACTTTCGTAGATGACTGCGCCGGCCAAATCGCACAGAATATGCTACACACTGCCAGGTCCACAACTTCTTCGCTGAAGTGTGGTCCCTCAAATAGCTGCAGTCTAAACTGAAAACTTCTGCACCACACTGACTTCTTCTGAAATGAGAAAACATTCCGCAGGCCTTCTGAGCACCTTTGATGCCGCGGTCCAGTGTCCGCACAACCTTGCTGATTGGTCACGATTTTCTTGCGTCAGGGAGACGTGTAAAGGGAGACGTGTCTCACACAAGTTTGACCCACGGCACAATCATACCACCGAACTAGCGAGGCAATGGAATACCTTGTATGTGTTGAACACCTTCCAATCAGGCAATCGAAACAAACCAGCCCTTTGGATGGAAGAAACCGTTGGGAGCATATGGGAATTTCTTCAATCTCAACCTCTCTTTGTTTGGAAAATGCCCGAGCGGAATCAGTTCCAGACCGTCTTCCCAAGCTCGAGAGCTGCGGCAGTAGCATTGAGCGACCTCGCATGGAAACGTCGCCACGCGAGGGTCGCTTTTCTAGGGCGAAGGATTGCTACTCAGGTTCTAACCCCTGCTTCTGACTGATCTGGAATAGATTGAAGCCAACCTGGGCACAATTATATAGATGATACATGATGATACTGCCTATCAATAGAGCACCATACGACTTTATTCTTGCAAGATATCATTTTGCTCCTCCAAGCTGGCACTTCATGCTATATAACTTGCATGTAGTTGGCTTCAAATCCAACAATCGCATAAATTGAAAGTAAATCTGCCCAAGCAATCCTGCCAACAGTCTAAGGCGTTGGCCCAGCCAAACACTGCCACCTCAACGTAGCTGAGATCGGTTGAGACATCCCGACCTGGGCACAGTTTGATGCTCGAGCACGACACGTTGGTTGACAAAAAGGAGGGAACATTCCCCTGCACTCTGAGTTGCGCACAAAAGCCTGACCACCAATCACAGGTGAAATCGCTTGCACCTGAGCGACTGCAAGCACAACATTTCCCAAACGAAAGGTGCTTGAGGTAATACATGCCGCTGCATGCTTGGAATCACCGCGTTCACCATGCTGAAATGCTGACTATGACTCTTGAAGCGCCGAGAATCTAGAACATCACCTTGCCCACCCAAATCCGAATCCGAGGGAACGCGGCGAACGGTGAGATTCTAGCCAACGGTCCACCAAAAATTGAGATCTACGCGAGCAGGCGCCACTGGATTTGCAAGTGTATCAAGGTGGATGGCGTTCCTGTGTATTTGGTGGTCTGAAGTCGGTACTGTCTTGTCTTTGTTCCAGGATGTTCCAGGTATCCACCACAATCTCTGCAACACTAAAGGTCCACTGTGGCTGGTAAGATGGTCAGCCCAGTTCAACCTCACTCCTTCAGATTGCTCCTCTTCTTGGTCTTTCGCGCGAATCATGGTGCTCGAGAAAAACTGGACCTCTTGGGGGCCACAGGTCGACACCAGCGCCCTGCGTTGAAACCAGGGATCGGCCGCGTGGCCGAGCCCGGTGAGGGGAAAGCGGGTGACCTGACCCCGTAGGAAGGGGAAGGAAAGGCCTTGTTCTGTGCGCAAAGCCTTTCGGGACGGGATGACTAAGGACAGCAAGTCTCGTGGCCTCGCGGCCCTGCCAACATCACAATCTTTCACACAAGCGGATACAAGCACCGGCATGAAGGTTCGGCAAGTGCCAAACCAGCACAATGGTGTGGAAGCTGTTCGTCTCAAGAATGGGACATGCGCGGACATGCATCGAACCCCCCCACGCTGGCACATAGTGTTCAGTGAGGGCAAGCTGTCCACTCGAACGATCTGCACATGTATTTCGTGGAAGTGCCAATGGTTGGTAGGTCCCACCCAAAGCTTCATTTCAGCTTGTCATGGCATGCAAACAGGAACTCTTCAAAACTGACCAACAAGCGGAACACGTGTACAAAGTTGTGCTTGAGAAAAGAACGGATCGAACAGTGACATGCCTGTGATATCCCGCCATAAGAGCCTCACTCTATACCTACACCTTTTGGGCTTGCTCCTGAGGCGGTCCAAATGTCCCAACAACTCAGTGCCAGGGTACAGCAAATTTCCATCCCTTTCCACGGCTTCCCGTCAGCCACTTCCAATAACATACACACACACACATATATATATATATATAGATAGTATATTATATATAGTATATAATATATGAGAATTAATCAAATAGCATGCTGTCTGCACTTCCGCAGTGCTTAGCCCCAAACGGTCAAGGACAAAGGCCGCAAGGCCCAGGATGGAGAAGTTGGTCAAGCCAGTCCTCATCGGCGGCAAAACGTATGGAGCCGAACCACAGCTCCATTCATGGCAGCCACTATGCACGCGACGTTTTTGGACGAACGGAATTGGGAAGTCTGCATGAGGAAAGCTGAGGTGACGACAGGGAAGCTTCAAGCTTTCGTTCCTGACACGTTTCGGACAGGGGTCCCAAACGGTACCATGTTCATCGCCGGCGGTTTAAGTCGTGTCAAGGCCCATGTCTGCATCGCTCTGAGCAAGCCGCATTATCATCACGGGCCCGGGCGATCTCCTGTATTCACTAGACTGGGTCTTGTCACTGGATCAAGCCAACGTCCAGAAACTCTGCGGAGATGCGGAGAGGAGAAACGCCATCCCAAACTCCATCCAGCCTCTGGGATGCCACAAAAACTAGTCAGAAAACGATGGATCTGTTTGCAGAGTGGTTTTGCCCCCTCCTTCCGTGGGTCTTTGCTCAAGTTCCTTACTCAAACCTAATAGCTTTAGCTCCTGGAGCTGGCGAGTGGCCATCCTGTTCAGTGGTAAAAGAGGACGGACGGGTGGGTTCTGTATGGTTTGGGAAAGCCACGAGAACACCCTCCAAATCAGAAACCAACAGGTTGGAATTCTCTAAGGCACTCACGCTGGATGTGCGATCTGCGCCTAGGGGCTAATTATCTGCAAGTGATCTGTGGCGTCTCCCCCCAAGCCCCTAAAGTACCTATAGCTTCCCTCTCTCCTCTTCCAACTCCTTCAGGAGCATCTCCTGCACACGTGACGTTGTGCAAAAACCCATCCAAAGGCTGCAAGGACAAGCAGCGGACGAAGGAAAACCTACGTTTTTGGAACGGACCAGCTAGACATAGCTGTGTTTGTAACTTGCCCAAGTGGTCTTCGGGCGGCCTTCTCATCATGCAATTAACTCCTATATTGTATACATGAAGTATATGGAGAGGATGCCCCAGCTCTTAAACGTCAGGATTCAAAGCCGCTCTCACCCTTGCCCCACTTCAGGTTGCAATCCAAATTGATTGGAGTGGCGCGAACAACTTGCGCCTTGCGTCGCTGAATTCCCTCTGACGTGCCAAAAATGGCCTTGTTTGTGAACCTGAGCGATTCATAGCGATGCTGGTCTTCCAAACGCAGGCACTGCTCCTGCTTCATCCTCTGAGTCTCGCATAATTACTGCTCTCCAGTCTTGAAAAACAGGAACCAACATAAAACACCAAAATCTACCAAAACTACAAGTAAGAGTAGCCCAAGAAATGCAATTCTTCAAATGTGTGGGGCTGTATGATGAACCGGTCTGAGAGAGGTGTTCATTGGTGTTGAGACTTGGATGATCTTGGATGTGCTTCTGATCCTGAGGGGAGGGGGACCCTACTCAACAAGGAAGTCATGCATCTGTAGTGGTTTCACGTGTTTTCAACCAGGTGCTCTTCATTCGCCAGTTTTGTGGCCATTGCTGCCACCTCGTCGAACTCCTGCGAAGGGGAGCGAAGACACCAGCGTGAAACGATTGACTTCGAACGGTAAAGACCGGGCCAGCAGATTGGCATTTTCCGACCACTCACGCTAAAGAAGTGTGACGCCATGTTGTGTGGATAACCCAAATATACAACCTGAAGTATCCTGAAGTATGTCACCACACCCAAGTTCATGTGAGCTCCTGGAGTCATTAAGGTGCTCCTGTTGAAGGAGCCATGGCCATGACAAAGCAATACCGAATCGTTCGTGCTCTGCCAAATCTCCTTATCGGTAATAGCGGATGGGCTGCTGAGGGCCTTCTCCTTAGCAGCTTTGGGATGCGTGCTTTGCCCAAGGGATCCGCAAACATGCCACAGAAATCGGCACCTGGTTGCGTCCAAGAATCTGCCAAAATCTTCTTTGCCTTCTTGATTGCCTCAGCCGAAAGCTCACCCAGATTTATCACCAAACATCACTCACACAAAACATCTTACAACTGGGAGCCGTCACCACATCTCGCGCCAAAAGGCCAGTGGAAGCCTGGCCGAAATGCATCTCCACGGCTCCCAGTGCAACCCCTGATCACGGGATGGGTGCCATAAGGTTGGTTGACTCCGTGACCCGTGATTTGACCCATGAAGCTTTGAGAGCCAAACAATTGAGTGGTCACAGCAATGGAATTGATGGAGGGCCAAGCTTCTTGAGCTACCCAGCGCCAAAGCTTTGGATGCCCATGTCACCGGAACCTTGCAAGTAAGACCAACCCCGCAGTCAGATCCCCCAAGTAAGTCTAAGGGGCTTGGCTTTGGCACGGGCCTTCTAGCTCAAATAGTGGCTATCTTTTCCACCACCCCAAAATCTATACAGAAGGAATCCAGCCGAAGAAAGAACCTCCAAGGCAAACACTTCGTGCCTAATGCTGCCCATGTCACCCTGCTATCCATCTATTTTTGGGCATCTTTGAGCCAAAGAAAGGACATTCTCCACTCATCAAAACCTAAATCCGATCTGCGCCTCCATTGCCTCTGAAAAGGTTTGTGCTTGTGGCGCAGCATCACTGAAGGCGCTGGAGAACTCGCGCAGCACTGTGCCAAACCTACCGCGGAAGATCTCAGGATCTCTCTATCTCCATTGCTCCATCTCTCTGAAACATTAACTCCATCCAAATATCAACAACCATCACCATTGCTTCTGAGCCGTAGATTGTTCACCCTTCTGCAGAAAACCCCCCAATGCTTTTGACAGTTTTTGACTCCTAAAGAGGGTTTTAGCCGAGCGGATCCATATCAGTTAGCAAACGCCATGCTGGCATCACAAGCTTGTAGAGTCTACCGTTGACATCTGGGGTGTGGGGCATGGCCAGTTCCAAGCCACCCGTCGAATCTCGCCAGAAATTTCTTCAGGAACCCCCTGGTCCACAGGCTGCTTCGATAAAGGCTCTCAAAGTGCACAGAATGTAACTGAGCTGCCCACGTAGACACGGTGATGGCATTGCCTCATACATTTGCGGTGGCCGAAAAACAAGGAGCCCATGGCAGCTCATGTCGATATGTGATGGCCTTTGTATGAACATGTGCGCAAACGTCGAAGAAAAGACGTGCACTCAGCGCAAATCAATCAATGCGTGTCAGGCGCCAAGGTTTTGCTTTGCTTGCAACTGCGCTGGGTCAAAAATCTTGTCCAAATAGCCTTGGTGCACAAATTTCCCGTGCCATTCAGTAGATCAACATCAGACTCAAAAAATTGCCATCCGGTAGAAGCAGCGATAAAGAAGCAGGATCTGCAGGCATGGGCATATACAGAGTCTGGATACTTTACGATTCTTCTCCCCCTAACATCTACTCAGCCTTGACACGATCCCGCGTGTAGGCCGCTGCATGGGTTCAGGGATGAAGGCATGAAACCGTTGTCTCATATGATGTGTCTTCAAACTCCTGGCTCAAACACGATTTCACAGGTTAGCCTTCGAGACTATAAGTTGACGTAGGCCCCTCAACAGTTCATCCGGTTGCCACAGCACAACGGATGCCATGAGCTTGTTTAATGTGAAATTTTGATGAATAAAGCCTCGCCTTTTGGATTGTGAAACCTCTTCTCCCACCCCCCACCCACGTCGGATCCCCTACGCGTGAGACTTTGGTGGTTTATATCCGGCTTGTATATCAACAGCCTACAGTTCCCGGCACAATAACAGTGACCACAAATCATACCAGGAAAAACAACAGCTTAGCCATAGTTTGCATTAGGATTACTTTCATTTGCCTTTTTAACGCTGGCTGCAAAAGTAATGTACCACAAGCCCCTCAAGTGAATCGGGTGCCCATTTTGATCTGAGCGCATCCACTCGCAAAATGATCAAAAGTTTCGATCCACTCAACATGGTCTGGGAGTTTTGTAAAACATATATGGCAGGCCTGGCAGAAGGGGCTGGCTCTAGAGGGAGCCCTGGCTGGGCGCCAGAACTGTGGGCGGCCCCGGAAGTTCCAGGCCCAGTGCCTCCCTTATTGAACAAAGAGAAAACTGGGGGCCCGCTCTTTGTAAAAGGAAATGAAAAGGAACGCAGCCACAAAAAGAAACACACACACACAAAGCTGACCACAACTTTGTGTGTATTTTGTCTTTTTTTGTGGTCTGATTTGTGTGTGTGTTTATTTGTTTATGTATTTTTTTGTGGTCTGACTTGTTGTAAGTCTTGTTGTATTTTTGTGGTATGATTTGTGATCGCGTTTGTGTTTTTTGTGGTATGACTTGTTGCATTTTTGGTGGTATGATTTGTGGTCGCGCTTGTGTTTTTTGTGGTGTGACTTGTGTTTTTGGGCATTTTTGTGGTATGATTTGTGGTCGCGTTTGTTGTTTTTTTGTGGTGTGACTTGTGGTATTTTCTGTTGCACTTTTTGTGGTATGATTTGTGGTTTTTGTGGTGTGACTTGTGTTTTTTTGTGGCTTTTTTTGTGGTATGGTTTGTGGTCCAGGGCGGCAGACAGCCACAAAACAAGCCACAAAAAATGCACAGGAAATTGCCAGTGTAATCACAATCTTCCTTCCCCTCCTTTCTTTCCTCTTTCCTTTGGCTGTGAGAGCACGAACAAAAGATTAATCTTGTGGTAAGTAGGGTCAATCATTCTTTGAATTGCCACGTGAGGTTGACCAATTAGTGAAGGGATGATGTTGGTTGTTTTTGGTTTGCAAATATGTTCAGATTTGTGTTCTTTAGAGTTACCCCGCCCACTGATCCAATCATTTTGCATTTCCTAGACCAGAACCCGCCCACTGATCCAATCATTTGCATTTCCTAGACCAGAAATTGCAATCCAATTTCCCTAAATGACTTTGAATATGATTGTGGTTTTTGGGGGTATGGTTTAAGGGCCCTGACCCTTTAGTTGGGGTGCAGGGCCCAAGCCTACAGCACATTAGAAAACATTGGAGCCGCAAAAGTAATTGAACAATCGCAGTACTTCTCAGGATTACATTGTTGCTAGCCGGGTGCCAAAGCTCCACTGCAACGGAGGATTCCCTGATGGTCTTGACAGCCGGGGTGGCTGGTGGTTTTTCATGTATCTGTATCTCCCAGGTGCAATCAGCAGGAGTCTGATGTCATCTCTTGGCTATGTTGGACGCTGCACGTCTGACCCTTTCATCGTCCCAGTCACTGGAGCCCAATACTTAAGCAAAAGGAAACCAGGGTCTTTGAAACAGCACTTGGTCTTTGAAAGACTTTTTAGGTCAGCCATCGATCGAATTTCTCCAAGTCCACACACGTGTGGTAGCCGTGGGACGATCATCGGTTCTCACAGGCGTGACCTCCTGGCTTTTCAACTTTACAACTCAAAGGTCTCTAAAGGCTCGTGCTGGCTGGAAGAAGAGCAACTCTTAGCCTGGTGATGTGTATATATAGCGGATCACACAAATGGCATTCTAAAGGCGTTCTGCGAATGCCATCTGAGTGTGGTCCCCTATATATATATCATATCTATAACTTTGTATATACAAAACGTGACAAAACCATCGCTTTCTCTGATGTGATGATCTCCACTTCGGAACATCCATGACCTCATCGAGACTCGGTCGCCTCCGGCCCATCGGGCGACCCTACCTGCACCTCGGCTGAGAGAAACTGAAACGCTCTTCAAACCAAGGAGCCATCAATGTATCGCCAAAATTGTTTCTCAATCACTGCCAGGTCCCCATTCCAGGTCTCACCTGTAGGCTTGCAGTTCGGGCTTCGAAGCCAATAAAGAACTTGACTCTTTGCAGCGATTGCTTTGCACAACTTGAGGTCACCCACTGAAAGGATCTCGCAACTTACTTTAAAAACCGGGGCTGGTGGGCAGTGCGTGTGGGCTTGGGCCGTGCTCTCTGATGCAAACAACATCTTTTTCTGACAGCAACTGTAACGTCTGGATCATGTGTTGCCAGCTTGCAAATCATGCTGGGAAAAAAGAACCAAGGATGTATCAATTTATATCATTTGCGTGAGCCGTGCGTGGATTGATTAGGAACAACGGAGGCGCCCAAACATCAAAATACAGCAACACCTGCTACGAACGAAACTAGGTCACTGAAAACTTGCATTTCAGGGGCGAGGGGCCAGGAGGGGAGTGCTTCTCAGCAATGGCTGGTTCAAAGCGTGTCCTGATGGTCCTTTGAGGGGGTCAATCGCTGCTTCAATGTTGCAATCTTTCTGTGCTTGAGGTGCCAGCCTGGCTTCATCTATAGCGCTATATGGCATACCTTTCTCAGGTTCGGGCTTTCAATCTTCAGAGAGGGATGTGGAAGACACCATACGTCGATGTCATGAAACCTTGAAGGCTGGGGATGGATCTGGAGAAACTGCAGCATCAAGGAACACAACCTAATAGCGATGGCCTCCAACCTACTAGCGATGGCCTTCAACCTACTATCCAACCTATTAAATGCAGTACATATACCATACCAAATACCATACCCTGAAGTGGAAGTATGCAATGAATTACTAGCCGGTCCCAACAAGAAATGTCCCAGGCTGCCCAACTTTGTGGGCAAGAATGCTAACATGGACATCAATGGGCATCTGTGCCCTCTGCCTTCGTTTGTACAACACATGCACCACCACCAGGGTGATCCAAGGTGCAAGTCCACAAGTGCCTCAACGCTTTTTGTGTCCTGAAGGCGCAACTGTGAACCACACTTTGTCCGATGGCTTACTCGAGCCGCGAGGGAACTCAAATCAAAACATTGCAGCTTGCATTTTGCCATGCGCCTGGCAGAAGGCAGAACATCTTCACATAGAATCACCTCTTGTTCTTGCTGCTCGTTTGGGGTCATAAATCATAAACAATGATGCTATTGATGGAAGAATCCTGCATATGCCGTGAACAGCTCCCCCAGTGGTTTGTAAATCGAGCTTGTCAAAGCACCGATGCAGTCCTGGGACTTCTTTGGGTTGAAATACCTGAAGTGGAGACGGCAGAGACGGCAAAGGAATTGCATGACTGGTTGCACCCGGCACGTCCACAACTTTCCCTTACCATGAACAACTGAAATGGTTTGAAATCAAGGGACAGAAGCTGTAGCTGTGGATGCCTGAAATTCTCTGTGGTTTCCCATGATGCATTGGACTCCAGGACTGCCCCCCAGACCGAAGCGGAGTGACCTGGAGTGAAGTGAACAAACATTGGCTCTCCTCCGCAGTGATTCTCTACTCCAATGCCTGCGACTCTGTGTGGAGAATCCACCTGATCAGTGGCTTCCTTCGACCGTCCCGGATGCTCAGCCCGCTGAAAAAAGGCGGCCTAAAGTGTGCTCAGCTCTGTAGATCGAGTTGCTGGTCCAAATGGTTCTTCATCATGTTTCTGGCATCCTTGAAGTTGAAGTTTTCCTTCCATGTAGGACTGCTAGTTGCAGGTACAGTTGCTTCTGGCTATTCGCTCGAGTGTTAGACAGCACATGAATACTGCTCCACGTGAAGATACTTCAACTCCCCGGTTGCAACGTCCTGATAGTGCGGCCAATCCCTGACCAGGAATTCCAATGTTTGGAATGGCTCCTTGGCGAGGGCAAAGTCATATATCCAAACCTGCGATTGAAACCACCTTCACTAGGCATTTGGAACGTCGAGCAACAGCTGCGAACATGCGAGTGTGCAAATTCATTCAGGGCAGCGCATCTGGGTGTCTAGGTGATTCATTGCCCGCATGAATCACATGCCATGGTATTCACGTCTTCACCTTGCTGTGCCCCAACATCCTATTTGGAGCTGCAGGCTTGCAACTTTGTCATTTGGTGGCTGCCTGGAGTGACATGACCAAGTCATCCTGCTTGGCTGTGAGGAGCATCCGTGAACTATCATGACCTATCCAGTATCGTCTAGCACGCTTCACTCCTGAAAGAAGATTGGCCTAAATTAGCCTTGGTATGCCTTGAGCACTCCAAACGCCCTTGACTGAACCCACTTTGAAGCACTCCATGAAGCCCTTGACTTGAGGCTGAACCCCACTTTGCAGTGCGTGGATGCACACTTCAACGACCGAGTGGCACTCACGGAGCCGGTGCCCCTCTGCATGGCTCGGAGAGCAGCTTTGGCAAAGTCTGTGAAGTACAGCCTTTGGGCAGCTCGTCACATCGGATCGTTCGCCAAAAAGGTGAGAACTTCAGAACTCCACGTTCGGGTGAAGAACCGCTCCCACCATGGATACTGAAAACACGATGATTGAGTATGTTGCTTGGGGTGGCAAAGATGTATCCGGATTTTGAGTAGGACCACGCTGCAGCTTGAAGAGCACCCTTTCCATAGGATTATTTCATGTCAGCACCATGAAAAGCTAAGATGAGCTTGCACCTGCGGCTCCTGACTGAAACCCGACCAAGCAACAAATTGTCAATCTTATCCTGCTGAATCTGCTTTGAGACCTAATCGCTGTGTCAGACGGGAAGAGTTCCTTCACATAGCTTGTCCTAGTGTTCCGATCTATATCATATATCATCATAATATGTCTATCTATCAGATTCTATCAGTCTGTCATGTCTGCCTATCTATCACTTGTTCTTGCCAATGGGGGACATCACATGTTTGAAAGCTCATTATCTCCGAAAACAGGGCATCCATATTCTCTATTCTCCCCAGATCTCTGCAACTTGGTCGGCGGCAAAACCTCATGAACTCATAAATGAGTGCGAACCAGCCACGTTGTAGATAAGGCGGGATGCTAATAAGGTAGTGAGGCCGAAGATTGTCGCGCTCTGCTCCTTTTCAAGCGGTGAGACGAAGCGTGGTGACGCGACAAGGACACGGCAACTACGCCCTGTGGCAAGGACGGTCCTTGCTCATGCGCGCATCCCAAGCGCCTTGGGTATCCATCAGCACCACGGCCACATCCTCAACGGCTCATGTTTGATTGCGTCACAGTTCGGTCAACTCTCTGCAAGCGATCTTTGGGGTAAAACGATGCTCGAACATGTGAGAGCTTGTGGCATTGACATGCATCGTGCTTGTGGGCCTCATCGCCAGCTTTGCACACAAAGACCTCTGACCACACCCAGATGCCCTGAGTTCAGGCAGCACGATCTGAAAAATGAACACTGGCAACTCTAAGAACCACAGTTATACTCCAAGAATGACGCGCCCCCCCCCTTTCGTGGCGCAGCGTAGTTACCACCCCGCCTCGGTGCACTTCTCCATGCCTGGCCTCCAAACAAAGCCTTCCCGGTCTTGACTACCACCCTCGCGGCCTGGTGAGCGAGCGGCTTAGCAAGTGGAAGGAAAGCCGCGAGCAACGGGACGGGCCTTCCAATAGGTTGGGGCCACAGTTCACGGCCCAATCTGGAACCTTTCTTTCTTGAACCTTACGAGGTTGCCAGCTTCACAATGGCCACTCTTGAGTCACTATACTGTACTCATGATCGTGCCAGGCTAAGTTCCAAGCCCAATCTGGAACTTCGCATTCCTGAAGTCTGGCCACTCTGTGCAAGTTCTAAAGTGCATGCAGTGCTTCACCCCCAGGTTGCGAATGCCCACCCTCCTGCGGAATGTCTTCGTTCTTGTAGCCTTTGGGCGGGTGCTTTTCTCGCAAGTAGCGCCTCAACAAGTCTCTGATCATCGCGTCATCCCTTTGGTTTACAGGCTGAGGCTGCTACAGCATGAGGTCGAGCAAAAAGGATTTCCCAGTACCTCAGCTGAAAACTTTGACCAGGCCCGATCCATCCTAAGGCGCCGATTACTGAGTCTTCAAGAATAGTCGAAGCATGGCCTGTTGTAACCTAGCCTCCGCTACAAAAAAATAATAACAGAACCTAGAAGGGGCGGCGATATAAATGTCAATGATGTATCAACTCCTTGGCCGGTGCGACGAAGCATGCACGTCCTTCAACCCTATATAAATAGATCTCTGTAAATGCTTGATGTCCGCTGTCTGCTGAAGGTTGTAGAGGATACGTTTATATATACTGTATATTGTAAATGTGTATAGGTGTATATATATACACATACATAAACACGTACGCACACACACACACACACACATATATATATATACATACACTGAATACACTGGACTCTGGTCATTTGGTGGCATGTGGTGCATCCTCATCCACTCACAATTTGGCCCAGGTAACGAAACGCCCCCATCACAGCGATGATGGCCACCTTCTCCACCTGGATGGAGAGGTTGCCGGCCCGTCGGAGTGGCGGGTCGGACATGAGTCACACGAGTCAGTTCTATTGGGCAGTGAGTGATGGACAAGTCTTAAGGGGTCTGGGTCAATTTAGTTGGTGGCTCGTGATTCGCGTGGTTGGTCTCTTGAAACATATCGGAACTCATTGGGAATTACCATATCATAATATCATACCGTAATTATCATAATATCCGCGTGTGGGATCGGGCCATCTGGCCTGCTCGTTTCCAACACCCCCACGCTTGATGGACGGATGCTCCGACACTCACATTCCCAGTGCAAAGGAGAGTGACGTACGAGCGACGTACATACCATTTCAGTGGTGCTGGACACTCTGAAATCAAGAAGACTGCGCCTTTTGGCATGGAACTGGTCGTCACTTCAGTTAATAACTGCCCCAAACCACACACCACTAGCCGCTGTGTCGACGGCCCCCTTTTGGGCCAAACGGCGCCCGTGTTTTCCAGGGACTTCTCCAAGACGGCCAAATCCTCCTCGTTCAGTCTCACCTCAATGACTCAAGGGGACAGCCCACATGCGAGCGCGTACCCCGAGGGTACCACGTAGGTCTCACACGAAGACATAACTGTTGGTGCAGTAAATAGGATTTTGATTGATATGGGTCGTTTTTGACCTACACCAACTTGGCTTTTGGACCACCTGTTGATTCAATATGAGTGATGAGGATTGATGAGGTGGGCCAGTCGTGCCAGGACACCTTGTTCTTCTCCAGGTCAATTTGCACTAATTGCAATGGGCGTGGCTTTTCGTCCGTCGTCGAGGCCTGCGCACAAACCTCCAACCAACTCCAAAACAACGTATATAACCGACCCAACTCAAGTGTTCTTTTCTGGGCCAGCCCGAAGTTGCAGCAGTTCGTCAAAAATCAGCTTCCATGGAATGGATTGAGTATTGCGTGACTTCTGCAAAAAAATCGACATCGACTGGGAGAATCCTCAACATTAACCTCATCGGCAAAAGCTGTGTCCACTCGCCCCAGGCCTTCTTGAACTATCTTGAACTCTCTGGCGACTCTGGCTGTCAATCAGCCGTCCCACAGGGACACTCGACTATCTTAAACTCTCTTTACCTTTACCTCGTTTCTTAGACGATGGTTTTGACCGCTGAAAACATCTGGACACGCACTTCTCCACCTCGAGAACATCTTCGTCTCGGCGACCTCGATCACCTTCCCACCTGCGCGACCTCCCCAAGGGTGGCCACTTCTGCTTCGACCGCGCGGCGAGCGACCTCGCATTTTGCTTGGGGGGGGCATCCTGCGAAAAAAAGAGCCCGGGCAGACAGCTCAAAGAGCTGTTGAAGAACCCAATGAAGATAGGAAACAAATCTGAATGATTTCAACTGGTCCGACACAACTCGACCTCTCTGGAGTCATTTTCTTTGGAATGGATCTTGAGTGGCTGCGATCCAACACATCAGTCTATTCGGTGGCTAATCCCTCAAGTACGGATAGGAGAGGACTTGGTACAAAGCCAAACGAGGAACTAAGAATCAAGACTCTCAAGCTAGACTCTTCCCTCGGTTTCCAGCCATACCGGGCTGGGGCCTCTTCTATGAGGAACTTTTTGGACGTATCGAACGCATCGAATGGACTTGGCAAATTCGCCCTGTCACGAACCTCTGGTGGTTTCGCTCTGCAACTCTCCCCCGTTGGACGGGCATCTCTGCCACGCATCGTGACAAGTCCGCTTGATATTCCTCTCAGCAATGCCTAAGGGTTCTTCGTGAGTTACTTGGTGTCACCTTCTAGTATCTTCCTGCCAGCTTGGTCAACGGAGAGGGATATTGCGAGGCCTTCACATCTAGACTTTCGCTTTGGTTTAGCGAGTGAAACTCTGGTCCTTCTCTTTGCTCAGAGCTCTGCTCCTACGGAGCTCAGTCTCTTCCCTCAGACTTGGACGATGGCCATACTGCCTTAGACTCGAACTCAGAACATGCTGAACTCAGAACATGCGAAGAGAACTCTCGTTTCCCTGCCTGAAACATGCTGACGCAAGCACCCGGTAGGGCCCATGTTCGGATTCGCCTGAGCAGACATGACAAATGTTGACGGAACATGAACGGAACGGACCAAACATCTTTTAAGAACCCCGAGCTGTTTTCACAAGTGGCGGGCCGGCGTGCTCGTGTACTCCGGCGTGCTCGTTTACTACACCGGAAGGTAGGGCATTCAAGATGCCCATCGAACATGGACATTGTTTCATATTGTTTCATAAAATGTTTCAGTGTCAGTGTTTCGAAGTGTGTTTTATCAGCAAGGTCACTGGCCATCCCACTTTTCTGCTGGTTGGGTGCAGGTGAGCCGGACAACATAGTAGGCATCGACGAAGATCCTTGAGAGTGGCATGCTCAGAAGGGTCTTGCAATGATGGCCAGCAGCTGCCAGCAAGACATTTGCCAAGACACGTGATGAAGACATTCATCAAGAAGAAGGTCAAAAGGAGGTAGAGTGCTATAGTGGAAATCACTCCAACAACCTGAAGGTGCAAGTTGAGGTGCATTTCGAAGGTAGTGCAGTGCTCAAACAAAAGCACTAAAGGTAGAGGCAAAAGCAAAGAAACAAGGGACTAGTGAGAAGAAAGCCCAAGTGTTTCCATGGTGTGTGCGTGTGCCCGCAACAGTGTCAGTGGGTCCACATGAGAGAATCATAAACAAGAACTCGTGAAATAATGACTTGACTTGACAAGTTGATATCCATTCCATGCTGAGACACCACATCTCGATCGAGCACACTGGGATGCAAGTCACCCGCTGTAAGCTTGAAGGTCGAAACTGTAGTTCGACTCAAACTGGAGAAGCCTCAGCCGATGACCAATGCTGCAAGGAGCACAATGAGGGGACCTTTCAAAATCTTTCAACTAATGAGACCCAGCTGTTTCTTTCGGGATATCCTTGTCGCCACCTATCCTGCGGTCGCACATGTCATGTGTCACATGACGTTGCCGGTTCTTCCTGACAGCTCAGCACGGGGCCGAAGATGTACTTGCCGAATAGGGCTGTAGAAACGACGATGAAACCTGAAGGCACAATGCAGCGATGGGATAGAGGGGCCCTTGCAGAAAATTGGCATCTTGCACTTGGTCGGTTGGTGCCGTTTGGGCAACGCCGGCATCAACGTCTTCTTTCAAAGCTTTTTGTATTTCCACCAGGCTAGGCAAGTCAACTCAAAGTCTTCCAGAAATACCAAATGTCTGTCTTCTCTTGCCTGCAATCGCGGGTACAAAGATCAACGTGAAGAACATGAAGGCTTTCAAGGCCTAGCAGCTTCGCAGGCTGCGGTGCGTGCCGTGATGCGTGGCGGATGGTGCAAAGAATCGTGCTGGATGGTTGATGGGTCAAATACGGAGCTTTAAAAACAAGTATAAATCATCTGCACTGAACCGAATTCAAGGTCTATTTGGGAGTACATCTTAGCATAAGGCATAAGGCATCTGATTTCCTTTGGATCATGGGAGGTAAAGCGATCACCGAATAAGGACCTTGCGATGGTCCCTTCTGTTGCAGAAAGAAATCGCGGATCGGCGCTGGCACACGTGAGAACGTTAATCAAGGAATCAGAAAATGCTGGAAAGACAAAAAAAACAAAAACAATACAGAGTGCGTCACCTGACCAATGGCTTTCCACTGCAGGTACACGGTGTGGCTCAGTCCTTGAAGCAAAAACGGGCGTCTCTTCACAAACAATATAGATCGAGGGTCTAGGAGCTATAGGAGACGCACATGAGCACGAGTCTACAACCCCAATCACTTGACTGACGCCACCCTCCTTCGGCAGACCAGGAGGCCATCGCAGCTGCAATGTTGGCAGCTGGAAGGCTACTTGAGTTATGTACCACAGATTCCTCCCAACACAAACACACACACACACAACACACACACACACACACTTTCACTACTGGCTAGTCACTCGCCTACCACTCAATAATGATTTCGAAGGTTTCTAAAGGTATGTAGCCAGGGCTCTAAAAAAGGTGATCATCCTGTACATCAGGAAGACCATGGCAATGCCGTCCTGCAGTGCAAAAAGCAGTCATTTACATGAAACATGGAGCATCGCGCGGGCCAACCTGGTGACCCACGTATGGTTTCATACCATAGAGTCAGCTCTTCCCGTTTGGATTTTACAGCACGCCGCACAAAAAGTCTGAATGCCATCAAGCTGCTAAAATGTAGATGGTGTTGTACTCCCAGGCCATGAATCCTCAAGTTTCAACCAAACAGTGCTCCATAGTGCTCCTCTCCCGCTTTTTCGCATCACTCGTCTCGGCACCTCGTATGGACTTCCATCAGCGTCTAGTCTGGCCCTTTTCTCCAAGCGTCTGAAGGAGTAGAAACCATTGGTGCGCTCGGGGTCATTTGCTTGCCTGATGTATTCTGCGGTGGTCTTGTCGTGAAAGACGGCCTCATGGTGAAAGCTCAAAAGCTCCAAACTCTTCAATGGGCGGGATTGGTATAGACAGTATAGACAGTATAGAAGCATGCTTCAGCACATGTCTCCCAGACATCCCTGCCCCTTGGTACTTGTCTTTTCGATACCACGCACCATCTGCAATCCCAGGATCCGTCCGCCAAACTAGAGTGACAAACACGCAAATGACCTTAGATGAGCAGGATGACGCCGGGTGTTCATGCAGCACACAAACTCCGAGGGACGCTTTCCTTTCGTCAAGTGACCAGGCCCATGTCGGTGATCCCAGACAGGGAGATGTGATAGTAGAATCCAGCCTGTCACTTCAAGCGATCGACTCAGGTGCAAGCGGTTCGACCCTTTCTGTTTCACAGCCATGGGGTTCTAGTTCCTCCTCCTCGCATGTCACGCCGCCAATGCACACTCTTTCAGGCGATCGAGAGCTGTCACGCCTTGTGATTCCTCACCTTGTGCTGTCTCTCCGACCATCCTGCGCAGTGAAGACTCACACAGGCGTCACATGTCTGCCCGCGGCCGCCAAAAAGACCGACTCTGAGAGGACTGTCATAGACCGAGGACCACCCATTTACTCCGGACCTACAAAGATGAGGATGTAAATGGCAATGGCTAATCGTACCTCACGAGCCGGATTGACCGCGCAATATGTTGACAAGTTCTCAAGAGAAGCGAGCCGAACCGAAAAACAAAAAACAAGGCACATCAATGTCTGAACTTGCAATGTGGAGCCCGAAGACGATTCTTCAAGCCAAGCGTCGTAGTCAATGTAAGTATAAGTAAGCTCATCTCCTGATAGGTCTGAGAGGTGAACCTTTTGACATGGCCGTGAACATGCTGCGAAGGCACGTGTCTCGTACGTGCGAGGCTTGAATGGCTTCGTGGAATAGGTGGCTAGCAAATGGCCATCGGCTGGGATTTCCCACATAAAATCCTCAGAAGGAAGGGGTCAATGAACATCTGGATCCATTCCAAACCTCCACAAGAACTGCACAAGTCAAGCTGCGCTGGCAGTCCACAGGTCATAATCGGTGTTGTATGTGCTGAAGGAGATGATCACTACACGTGTTGCTGGGCCAATCCACCCTTCCGAGCGAAGAAACTCCATATCCGCTCCTTGGCTGAATGGAGTTGACACTGTCTCGAGAGGGCAAGCTTCTTGTTGCTAGAAGTAAGAATGCTCCTAGTAGCGATGCCAGGAGCCCCTAGTAGCGTCCTTGCTCCTAGTAGTAAGGCCAGGAGCCCCTAGTAGC